GTCTCGATCTCTTGACCTCGTGATCCACCCGCCTCGGCCTCCCAAAGTGCTGGGATTACAGGCGTGAGCCACCGTGCCTGGCCAAATACATGACGTTGAGTCATGAGAACAGATATTAAGAACGCAGTCAGGTCCTGGCGGCATTACGGATAGCAGAAACCAGAAGCAACCTAAGTGCCCAGTAATAGGGGCTTGGTCAGGGGGCATTAAAAGACTGCTTTGTCACAGTAGTGTTTGTGTGACACTATGTGAAGTGACAATGGCTAGTGGCCTCATAGTATCAAGTCCCTTGCCGGGGCCCATAATCCCCTCCAGCTCCAGCTTCGAAGCCTGATGGCCTCTCTGAGTGAAAAAAAGGACGGGAGGAGAACGAGGTGCTGACCTGAGCTGTAGAGCTGTAGGGTCACATTAGGAGACTTCTCTGTCTGGTTCCTGGCCCAGGATTCCACCCAGAGTGTAACGGTGCAGAGCACAGGCACCCTGGCCTGGTCGGAGAACCGTAGCCAGGTGGCTGAGCCTGCGGCAAAGTAGCAACAGCGCCCGGAGCTAAGGCTGCAGCAGTAAAGAGGGTGTTAGTACCGAGTCTGGGGTCCTAGTGGACCCCACAGCCGACTTTTTTTTTAATTTTTTTTTTATCACATCCCAGCATCTTTTTTAAAAATTTTTTTTGTTTGTTTTTTTGTTTTTTGTTTTGGAGATGGAGTCTCTTTCTGCCACTCAGGCTGGAGTGCAGTGGCCCGATCTCGGCTCACTGCAACCTCCACCTCCCGGGTTCAAGCAATTTTCCCATCTCAGCCTCCCTAGTAGCTGGGATTACAGGCTTACAACATCACATCTGGCTAAGTTTTGTATTTTTAGTAGAGACAGGGTCTCACCATGTTGGCCAGGCTGGTCTCTAATTCCTGGCCTCAAGTGATCCGCCCGCCTCGGCCTCCCAAAGTGCTGGGATTCCAGGCGTGAGCCACCGCGCCCAGCATCCTTTTCTGCCCCTCATCTTTTTCTGCCCCCTGTACACCTCCTCCCCCAGCCTAGGGTTCCTTGGAGATCAGTCTGGGACTGAAGGAGTTTGAGGGACCCCAGTATCTACCAGCACGGACTGCGCCATGAGAGAAGAAATAAATGAAACGGCTGGGCGCGGTGGCTCACGCCTGGAATCCCAGCCCTTTGGGAGGGATCATTTGAGGCCAGGAGTTAGAGACCAGCCTGGCCAACATGGCGAGACGCTATTTCTACTAAAAATACAAAAATTAGCCAGCGCAGTGGCGTGAGCCTGTATATCCAGCTACTCAGGAGGCTGAGGCAGGAGAATCACTTGAACCCAGAAGGCACAGGTTGCCGTGAGCTGAGATCGCACCACTGCACTCTAGCCTGGACAACAGCACAAGACTCCGTCTCAAAAAAAGAAAAAAATGAATGGATGGATGAATGGATGGATGGGTGGATGGATAGATGGACGGATGGGTGGATGGGTGATGGGTGGATGGATGGATGGATGGATAGGTGGATGGGTGATGGGTGGGTAGGTGGATGGATTGACGGGTGGATGGGTGATGGGTGGGTGGATGGATGGATGGATGGGTGGGTGATGGGTGGATGGATGGATGGATGGCTCGCTGGATGGATGGATAGGTGGATGGGTGATGGGTGGGTAGGTGGATGGATGGATGGGTGGATGGGTGATGGGTGGGTGGATGGATGGATGGATGGGTGGGTGGATGGATGGATGGATGAATGATGGATGGATGGATGAATGATGGATGGATGGATGGATGGGTGATGGGTGGATGGATGGATGGATGGCTCACTGGATGGATGGATAGGTGGATGGGTGATGGGTGGGTAGGTGGATGGATGGGTGGGTGGATGGATGGATGGATGAATGATGGATGGATGGATGGATGGGTGATGGATGGATGGATAGATGGGTGGGAGGGTGGATGGGTGATGGGTGGATGGATGGATGGATGGCTCGCTGGATGGATGGGTAGGTGGATGGGTGATGGGTGGATGTATGGATGGATGGATGGATGAATGGATGAATGAATGGACAAGTGAAAGGGTGGAGAAGAAAGGAGGACTTGAAAGGCCCTCATGGACACCCACCTGGGATGCCTACCCTCACTGAGCACCCCCCTCAACAATCCTCGAACCCTCTCTTCTTAGATGAGAGATGGAAGTCCGGGAAGGAGGGATGAGCCAGCCAAGATCACGAATCTGAAAGCAGGGGCACCAGAGCGGGCTGGAGCAAGAGTCGGGTGGTGGCTGAGGGTTTGGGAATGGAAGAGGGGTCCTCACCAGCACCTCAGGAAGTGGCTGACCCCAGCCGTGGGACCCTCATACTGCCAGGAGCACTCATAACCAGCGCTGGGTATCCGATAGCAGCTCAGGTTCCTGGGGCCGGAGGCTGAGCCTGGAAGAGATCCTGTCGGCTTCAGAACAGACCAGAGTCTGGAGGGGTCTTTGTTGCTAGGACAAATCTTGGTGATGCTTACATCTTTCAGCGTCACCTCGTCCTAAACACTCTCTGCGTCCTTCCCACCTCATCTCCTGCCATCTCTTCCCTCAACCTATTCCAAATCCTAGGCTGTGACCTTGGGAGGTCAGCTGAGCTCAGGGCTAGGTCCCTATGTCTAGAACTGTGTCTGCACGTAGTAGGTGCTCAGTAAATCACTATCAAACAAAATAATGAACAGTGTGTCTGGTCAGTGTCAGACCCTTTGCAGGGTGCATTATGAGCATAAAGTTCCAACAGTAAGGCCGGGCACGGTGGCTCGCGCCTGGAACCCCAGCACCTTGGGAGGCTGAGGTGGGCGGATCACTTGAGGTCAGGAGTTCGAGATCAGCCTGACCAACATGGTGAAACCCCGTCTCTACTAAAAATACAAACATTAACTGGACATGGTGGTGGGTGCCTGTAATCCCAGCTACTCGGGAGGCTGAGGCCGGAGAATGGCTTGAACCCAGAGAATGGCTTGAACCCAGGAGGCAGAGGTTGCCGTGAGCTGAGATCATACCACTGCACTCCAGCCTGGGCGGCAGAGCAAGACTCTGCCTCAAAAATAAATAAATAAAATAAATGTTCCAATAATTTATCGGGTTATGCTTATAACAGGTACTTTTCCCAATGTACTGACCAGTCCGAACAGACACAGACACCAGCCCTGAGACCATGCTAGGGAAGGGATGAGGTTCAGAGAGGCTGCTGGCTGCCCCAGGACACCCTGAACCTGGTGAGAATGGGCCAGCAGGGGGTGGGGTGGGGGCTCCCAACACCATAGTCGAGGCTGGGTCTGTGGCTGGGTGGAGAAGGCCGAGGGAGGGGCTGCTGTGGATGGGGTCAGGCAGAGCCCTGCATAATCCTCAGCGAACCACAAGGAGCTGCCCCGAACCTGCGTCTGCATCGGGATACGGCGGGTCTTGAAAACAGCACTCGCTGGTTCTGCAGGCAGCTGCAAAGGCAGTGAAGACATAATGACATCCCTGGCCTTGCACTGTGTGGGGGGAAGGCTCGACCTGGGGGTCTACACCCAAGTAATCATCAGCCCTCTCCCCCACCGACCTTCCCACCTGTGCACCCACCACCACCACCCGTCCATCCATGTATTTATTCATCCATCCGCCATCTACCCATCCATCCATCCAACCATCCATAAATTCACCCATTCACCCATCCATCCATCCATGCATCCATGTATTCATCCACCCCACCATCCACCCATCCACCCATCTACACATCCATTCATGTATTCATTAATCCATCCATCTGCTCATCATCCCACGTATTCCTCCATCCATCCATGAATTCATCCACCCATCCACCCATCTACCCATCCATCCATCCATCCATCCACCCATCTACCCATCCATCTATTCAACCATCCATGTATCCATTCATCCATCCACGCATCTATCTGTCCATCCATCCATCCCACCATTCACCCATTTATCCATCCATCCATGTATTCATTAATCTATCCATCCATCCATGAAGTCATCCATCTATCCCTGTATTCATTAATCCACCCATCCATCTATGTGTTCATCCATGAATTCATCCATCCATCCATGCATTCATTCATCTATCATCCATTCACCCACCCATATACTCACCAGTCTCTCCATCCACACATCCATGTATTCATTCATCCACTCATCCATAGACGCGCCCACCCATCCATTTATCTACCTGCCGATATATCCATCCAGCCACACATTCATCCATCCATCCATTCGTCCATCCATTCATCTGCCTGTGTATTTATTCATTCCTCCATCCATTCATTTATTCACCCATCCACCTGTCTATCCATTCATCCACCACCCACTAGTCCTCAGAGGTTGAGATGCATATTTGGGAGACACTGTCAGGAGGTCCCTCCAGCAAGAAAAAACAGTGGATCCACAGTCTGGAGGGCAGGGAGAAGTAGGGTGTGCCTGGATTGGCGTCAGTGTCTGAAGCCGGCATGGGGAGAGACAGTCGAGGCTGCATGGCAGGGAGGGGCCTGCCAGGGCTGGCGCAGGCAAGTACACTGGCCCAACAGCAGTCACGGCAATCATCAATAACCTTTCCCCAGGAGGCAGCGACCTCCCTCAGCCACCGCGTGCCCTTTGGGAGTGCCACTGTGTGCCAGGTGTGGAACTGGGTGACAGGGGGAGGGAGACGCCACTATGGATGGGGTCAGGAAGAGCATGACACCCCCATCGCCACAAGAAGGACCTGCCCTGAGACCCGCAGGCAGATCAGAAGCCTTGAGGGAGAAGGCAACACCCCAGGAAACAGCCCTAGGGGTCCAACCTTGGGGGAGGAAGGGCGCTTAACACACAGGGCTCTCCATCCTTCCATCACTCTCTGTGATGAAACAGAACCCCCCCCGACCCACCCCTGACAGCCTAAAGCCCATCTTCCTTCCCTCCCCCTGAACTGACAACTCACTGTCACATCGCCAAGCCACCTCGTGGGGTGCCCCCAGCCCCCTCCCCGCTGCTGGTCTCCAGCCATGCCTGGCCCTTGAAGACGCTGGGGCCTTGAGGTGTGGCCAGCCCTGCTGTGGGCACTCTACAGGCTCTCAGTGCATCTCCAGAGCCAGTGAAACAGTCAGCACCCCACTAATCCCCAATGTACAGAGAAGGAAAGTTTATATAATATCATTATTGTTGTTGAGATGGAGCCTTGCTCTGCCACGCAGGCTGGAGTGCAGTGGCGCGATCTCGGCTCACTGCAACCTCTGCCTCCTGGGCTCAGGCGATTCTCCCGCTTCAGGGAATAACTAGCTCAATAACTAGCAGAGAGTAACTAGCTCAAATTCTTTCTTTTTCTTTCTTTCTTTCCTTCTTTCTTTCTCTCTCTCTTTCTTTCTTTCTTCTTTTTCTTTCTTTTTTTTTTGGGGGGACGGAGTTTCGCTCTTGTTACCCAGGCTGGAGTGCAATGGCGCGATCTCGGCTCACCGCAACCTCCGCCTCCTGGGTTCAGGCAATTCTCCTGCCTCAGCCTCCTGAGTAGCTGGGATTACAGGCACGCACCACCATGCCCAGCTAATTTTTTGTATTTTTAGTAGAGACGGGGTTTCACCATGTTGACCAGGATGGTCTCGATCTCTTGACCTCGTGATCCACCTGCCTTGGCCTCCCAAAGTACTGGGATTACAGGCGTGAGCCACCACGCCCAGCCAATTTTTGCATTTTTAATAGACACAGGGTTTCACTATGTTGGCCAGGCTGGCCTTCAACTCCTGACCTGGAGTGATCCACCTGTCTTGGCCTCTCATAGTGCTGGATTTACAGGAGTGAGCCACTGCACTGGGCCTGAGATGATTTAAAGTATCTGGCAAGGCCAGGTGCGGTGGCTCACACCTGTAATCTCAGCACTTTGTGAGGCTGAGATGGGTGGATCATTTGACCCCAGGAGTTCGAGACTAGCCTGGGCAACACAGTGAGACCCTGTCTCCGCAAAAAGTACATGCCAAAAAAAAATTAAACAGGCATGGTGGTGTGCACCTGCAGTCCCAGCTACTCAAGGGGCTAACGCAGGAGGATCGATTGAGCCCAGGTGGTCAAGGCTGTGGTGAGCTATGATCAGACCACTGGACTCCAGCCTGGTGAAAGAGTGAGACCCTGTCTCAATAAATAAATAAAGTATACAGAAGGGTGTATGTAGGTTATATGCAAATACTTTACCATCAGGAACTTGAACATCCTTGGATTTTAGTATCTGCAGAGGGTCCTAGAACCATTGCCCCATAGATACGGGGAGAGCTGACTGCATACACTATATTATGTATGTCTATCTCTTCTAAACTACATATATAAGATACTAGCCTATGTATACCTACTAGATACATACTTGCTTTTTATTCCTTCCTTGGTTTCTTTTCTCATTTAACTGGGAGAGGTGGAAAAGATTTAGTGAATTTCACAGAACAGAAAATCAAGGCCTAGTGAATTTCACAGAGGAATCAAGACCTCGTGAATTTCACAGAAGAGAAAATCAAGACCAGAGGAAAGATATCCAAGTTTGATCCCAGAAGCCATGGCTGCCCATCTCCCATGTGACAGCAGGAAAGACTGAGGCACAGAGAGATGAAACCAACCCACAGAGCAGGCCCACAGCTCCCCACACACACATGCGCCTCCCCCCAGCAAGAGGAGCCGCCATGCCAGGGTGGGGGGACTCACCGCCCTGCTTGGACAGCAGGAGGAGGAGGGGGAGGAGGGGGACCCCCCAGGTCCCCAGCGGCCCCATCGGATCCACGTGGAGCCCCGAAGCTGCAGGGGAGCCTCTCTGCCACCAGCGAGGTTCAGCCGCCCGGTCCCCACTCCGGAACACATTTGAAGCTGAGCAAGGGAAAAAGAAAGAAAGAAAAAAGAATAAAAGTGTCACAGCCCATCCCTAGGGCGAGTCAAAGTGAAAGAGAAACCCAGGAAGTCAGCTTCGTGGTGGCGGTGATGGTAGCGGCCACAAACTCCTTTGGGGCAAGTCGGGGTTCTAGGAGTTCTGTCCTGCTCACCCCAGATCTGACCAGAATGCCCAGGTGCCAGCCTCATGGGCTACCTGTGGTTCCATGCGCCTGGCCAGGTCCCTGGCGCTCTCTAGCCAAATTCTTTTTTTTTTTTTTTTTTTTAAATAAAGATGGGGTTTCACCATGATGGCCAGGCTGGTCTTGAACTCCTGACCTCAAGAAATCCTCTTGCCTCAGCCTCCCAAAGTGCTGGGGTTACAGGTGTAAGCTACCATGCATGGCTGCCAAATTCTTTTTTTTCTTCTTTTGAGACACGGTCTTGATCTGTGGCCCAGGCTGGAGTGCAGTGGCGTAATCACAGCTCACTGCAACATCAGCCTCCCTTGGTTCAGGCCATTCTCCTACCTCAGCCTCCCCAGGAACCAGGACTACAGGCATGCACCACCATGCCTAGCTAATTTTTACATTTTTTGTAGAGACAGGGTTTTGCCATGTTGCCCAGGCTGGTCTTGAACTCCTGGCTTCATATGATCTGTCCACCTTGGGATCACAGGCGTGAGCCACCTCACCTGGTCATCTGGCCAGCTTCTGAGACTGAGACTCAAGAGCTGAAGGACAGCAGTGTTCTTGGATGGCTTGAGTTCATCCTTCCAACAAATTCTACAAAGAACCTGCAGCGTGCTGGCCCCCCAAAATGCCCACCTCCCCATATCCCAAGCTCCAGCCTGGTGCACCTGGATCCTCATATCTTTTTTCCTTCAGATGCAACTTTAGGCCTGGCGCGGTGGCTCACACCTCTAATCCCAGCACTTTGGGAGGCTGAGGCGGGTGGATCACTTGAGGTCAGGAGTTCGAGACTAGTCTGACCAACATGGTGAAACGCTGTCTCTACTAAAAATACAAAAATTAGTCGGGCATGGTGGCATATGCCTGTAATCCCAGCTACTTAAACCTGGGAGGCGGAGGTTGCAGTGAGCCAAGATCATGCCATTACACTCCAGCCTGGGCAACAACAGCAAAACTCTGTCTCAAAAAAAAAAAAAAAAAAAGATGCAACTTTAGGGCTGGATTCAGTGGCTCACACCTCTAATCCCAGCACTTTGAGAAGTCGAGGTGGGAGGATCACTTGAGCCCAGGAGTTGAGGCTAGCCTGAGCAACATGGCAAGACCCCATCTCTAGAAAAAATAAAAAGGCCAGGCGCAGTGGTCATGCCTGTCATCCCAGCACTTTGGGAAGCCGAGGCAGGTGGATCACCTGAGGTCAGGAGTTCAAAACCAGCCTGGTCAACATGGTGAAACCTTGTCTCTACTAAAAGTACAAAAATTAGCTATGGGTATGGTGACACGCGCCTGTAATCCCAGCTACTCAAGGGGCTGAAGCAGGAGAATCGCCTGAACCTGGGAGGCGGAGGTTGCCGTGAGCCGAGAATGCACCACTGCGCTCCAGCCTGGGCGACAGAGCAAGACTCCATCTCGAAATAAATAAATAGCTGGCCATGGTGTTGTGCATCCGTAGTCTTAGCTACTCAGGAGGCTGAGGATGGAGAATAGCTTGATCCCAGGGGGTTTGAGGCTGCAGTGAATCGTGATCGTGCCACTGACTCCAGCCTGGATGACAGAGCAAGACTCTGTCTCTTAAAAGAAAAAAAAAAATTAAGACATGCAACTTCTTTTTTCCCCATGTTTCATTTCTTAGCCTCTGAGTATTTCATTTTTTGCCCTTCCCTCCCCACTGTCGGCAAAGCCTCTAAATGTCAGTGGAGAAGATCTGATGCAAGCTACCGCGTGGATGAACCCTAATAAACATTGTGCTGGTCGGGCGCCGTGGCTCACACCTGTAATTCCAGCACATTGGGAGGCCAAGGTGGGCTGATCACCTGAGGTCAGGAGTTTGAGACCACCCTGGCCAACATGGTGAAATCCCATCTCTACTAAAAGTACAAAAATTAGCCAGGCGTGGTGACATGTGCCTATAATCCCAGCACCCAGGAGGCTGAGGCAGGGAAAATTCCTTGGACCCGGGAGGCAGAGGTTGCAGTGAACAGAGATCTTGCCACTGCACTCCAGCCTGGGTGACCGAGTGAGACTCCATCTCAAAAAACAAAAACAAAAAAAACCCATCATGCTGGGTGGATGAAGATGGACAGGAAAGGCACATATTGTACGACTCCACTTATATAAAATACCCAAAATAGGAAAATGTACAGAGGCAGACAGCAGATGAGTGGTTGTCAGGGGCTGGGGGGGAGGCGGGAGTGAGAAGTGACTGCTGATGTATGCGGGGTTTCCTTTTGGGGTGATGCAAATGTTCTGGAACCAGGGAGAGGCGCTGGCTGCACAACACTGTGAATGTGCTAAATGTCACTGAATCGTCTGCTTTAAAATGATGAATTTCCGGCCGGGCACAGTGGCTCACTCCTGTAATCCCAGCACTTTGGGAGGCCGAGCCAGGCGGATCATCTGAGGTCAGGAGTTCGAGACCAGCCTGGCCAACATGGAGAAACCCCGTCTTTACTAAAAAAACAAAAATCAGCCAGGCGTGGTGGCAGGCACCTGTAATCCCAGCCACTGGGGAGGGTGAGGCAGGAGAATCGCTTGAACCCGGGAGGCAGAGGTTGCAATGAGCCGAGATCGCACCGCTGCACTCCAGCCTGGGCAAGAGAGGGAGACCCTGTCAAAAAAAAAAAAAAAAAAAGATGATGAATTTTAGGTTATGCGAGGCGCATCAACTACAGAAAAAAGAAATATTCTCAGAGTCCTGGGCACTGAGGAGGGATACGGGGAGGGTCTCTCCTGGGGGTGAGCATCTGGGGAAACTGAGGCCCGAGCGGGCAGGGTCACGCCATGCATTTCAACCTCCTGGGAAGAGGCCTCTCCTCCAAGAAGCCTGGCCCCAATGAGCAGCTGGGCTGGGCAGGGTCAGGCGCCTGGCAGGCTATGAGGTCAGTGAGTTGGGGACAAAGACTCAGTGTCCTGGGCCTGGCACAGTGGGGACGGGGACCCTGTGACCCCATACAGAACAGCCTTCTCTGGCCCCAGGGCCCAGGCCAGGGTCAGCTGGGAGATGGATGTGTGAGGACTGGGGGAGGGGCAGAGACAGAGAGAGGGACAGAGATACAGAGACACGTAAAGATGGAGGAGGCCAGGCAGGCGGGCTCACGCCTGTAATTCAGCACTTTGGGAGGCCGAGGCAGGAGGATCGCTCTAGGCTAGGAGTTCAAAAGCAGCCTGGGCAACATGGTGAGACCCCCATCTCTACAAAACATAAAAAATTTGCGCCAGGTGCGGTGGCTCACGCCTGTAATCCCAGCACTTTGGGAGGCCGAGGCGGGCGGATCATGAAGTCAGGAGTTCAAGACCAGCCTGGCCAACATGGGGAAACCCCGTCTCTACTAAAAATACAAAAATTAGCTGGGTGTGGTAGCGCACGCCTGTAATCCCAGCTACTCAGGAGGCTGAGGCAGGAGAATCGCTTGAACTCAGAAGGTGGAGGTTGCAGTGAGCCCAGATCTGGTCACTGCTCTCCAGCCTGGGCAACAGAGCAAGACTCGGTCTCCAAAAAAAAAAAAAAAATTGCTGGGCATGGTGGCAGACACCTGGAGTCCCAGCTACTTGGGAGGCCAAGGCGGAAGGATGGCTTAAGCCAGGGAGGTCGAGACTGCAGTGAGCTTTATGCGAGACTGCAGTGAGCTTTATGCACCACTGCACTCCAGCCTGGGCCACAGAGCAAGACCCTGTCTCAGAAAATAAAAGAGCTGGAGGAAACAGGGAGAGATTAGAGGAAAGTTGTGGCCCCCTGCTGACCATCCTGAGACCCCCTGACTCCACCAATTCCCGGAGAGCCCCTCACCTGCCCCATTTCACAGATGGGAAAACTGAGCCCAGGGACACTCAAACCACCTGAGGCCCCAGCTGGAGGTGAAGAGATGGATTCAAACCGCCTCTCATGGAGCAGAGTTTGGCCCCTCCCAGAGTGGAGACCGTGCGTCAGGGCTTCCCCCGCCCCCATCAAAGTCGGCCCCCGGAGGCCTCATCTTCCCCATCTACAAAATGGGCTGCTGTGAGTATGAAGGAGGGCTTGGCTCACAGTGAGAGCTGCCTACCCTCTGGCTGGTGTGATTAGTCATTGTCGTTTTTCCACAGTGGCCTCTGTCTGGCAGCTGCTGGAAAACCTTGGTGGGGAGGGAGATACAGGGCCCAGGAGGTGAAAAGCTGGACACAGATGCCCCTAGCCCCTTGGGATCAGAGACAGATGGAGACTGGGTGCCCTGAAGTAAAGCAGGGAGGGCTGCCTGGAGGAGGGACACTTGAGCTAGAATTTATAGAATCAAAGGGCATCTCCGGCAGAGGCCACAGCAGACGCAAAAGTCCAGAGAAGGTGCTTTGGCAACCACCAAGATGGACACAGTGGGTCTGGGGTTCTGTGGGGCAATGGGCTGTGGGGCAATGGGCTGTGGGGCAATGGGCTGGGCCCTGGATGGGCTTTCTCCGAGGGCAGTAGGGAGCCATAGCAGGTGTGTGAGCTGGAGGGGTACCCCAGACAAAGGTGAGGTGGTATTTCTCCCCTTATCAAAGTTACAACCTGATGCTCCCTCTGAAGTTTGCCACGTCCCACCTTCCCCTTGCCACATCTTAGCACGCCCACCTCCTTCCCTTCCTCTCCAGGCTTACCAGGAGGCCCTGTGGTTCCCTGACAGCCCCGCCCAGCTGCCCCAGAAGCGCATCTGAGATAAGCTCCCAGGGCTGCCCCACTTTCAGATGCCCCACAGACTGAGGGGAGGGCAAAGCAGGAAGGATCAAGTCACAGGGGCCCCCAGAAAACATGATGGGAGGAACCACAGCACTTCCTCACCTCCTCAGCTTCCGCCTTCTCAGGGAGAGAGATCTTCAGCCCAAGGAGGGCTGAGCTCCACGTGGCCAAGAGACCCTAACGCCACGGAGGATCATCTACAGAGGGTGTTGAAGGACGCATAGGAGTTAGCCAGGAGAAAATCCATTTGTTCCTTTAACAAACTCAGTTATAGGCATCATCCATCAATGGGAACAATTTTCATCATTCAACCAGGACTTTCTAAGGCCTCTTGGGGATCATTTGAAGATGTTTAATTTTTTTTTTTTTTTTTTTTTTTTTTTTTTTTTTTTTTTTTTTTTTTTTTTTTTTTTTTTTTTTTTTTTTTTTTTTTTTTTTTTTTTTTTTTTTTTTTTTTTTGGAGACAGGGTCTCACTCTGTTACTCAGGCTGGAGTGCAGTGACATAATATAGCTCACTCCAGCCTCAACCTCCCAGGTTCGAGCTGTCCTCCCACCTCAGCCTCTGATATAGCTGAGACACAGGCTTGTGCCACCATGCCCTGCTTTTTTTTTTTTTCACTTTTGAGACAGAGTCTTGCTCTGTCACCCAGGCTGGAGTGCAGCGGTGTGATTTCAGCTCACTATAACCTCCACCTCCTGGGCTCAAACGATTCTCCTGCCTCAGCCTCCTGAGTAGCTGGGATTACAGGCATGCATCACCACGACCAGCTAATTTTTATATTTGTAGTAGAGATGGGGTTTCACCATGTTGGCCAGGCTGGTCTCAAACTCCTAATCTCAGCAATCTGCCTGCCTTGGCCTCCCAAAGTGTTGGGATTACCGGCATGAGCCACTACGCCTGGCCATCCAGCTAGTTTTTTCTTTTTTAATTTTTGGTAGAAATGTGATCTCACAGCCGGGCACGGTAGCTCACGCCTGTAATTCCAGCACTTTAGGAGGACAAGGTGGGTGGGTCACCTGAGGTCAGCAGTTCGAGACCAGCCTGGCCAGCATGATGAAACCCCATCTCCACTAAAAATACAAAAATTAGCCGAGTGTGGTGGCTCATGCCTGTAATCCCAGGTACTCAGGAGGCTGAGGTGGGAGAATCGCTTGAACCCCACAGGTGGAGGTTGCAGTGAGCTGAGATTGCACCATTGCCCTCCAGCCTGGGTGACAAGAGCAAAACTCCACCCCCAAAAGAAAAGAAAAGAAAAAAATGTTTTCTCACTCTGTTTGAGTGAGACCTAGTTTGAGACCTAGGCTGGTCTCAAACTCCTGGTCTCAAGTGATCCTGCGACCTCAGCCTCCCAAACTGCTGGGATTACAGTCATGAGCCACCACTCCCGGCCAGATGAGAGGCTGTTTTAAAGAAGGCACAAAAGGTTACCAAGAAAAAAATTCATTCAACCACCACACTTCCCGATGTCCCTTATAGACATGGGAGGAGGGTTTTGATGGGTGTGTAGAAGCTCACAAGAATAAAATGTATTTGTTCATTCAATACAAGGTTCTTTGATGCTTCTCAAAGAGAATTTGAAGTGGATCTTGAAGACTGTATAGGTGTTGACCCTAGAAAAACTGCATTAATTCAATCACTCATTCATTCATTCAGTCATTCAGTCAATCAATAAGGACTCCTTCTTGCCCATGGAGGGATCATTTGGGAGGGATCATTTGTAATAGTTCCCCAGATGGAGCAGGGGCATCTGAGATCTCTCTGGTGGCTCTCTGTCCAGCAGGTTCTCCTATGCACAACCCAACCCTGGTTCAGGGAACCTCTCTTTCGCCAGGATTTCATTCAAAGTCCCAGGGAGGGCTGTAATAGGCTGAGCTTGGGTCACATGTCCACCTTGAACCAATCACAGGATGAGGTGGATTAAAGACTCTGGGTCTCGTGTCCACCCCAGGCTGAACTGAAGGCGTACTTTGAGGCAGAGCTGCCCAGAGTCAGAACAGTTGGGCATTGCAGGACATGAGCTTCTTATTACTTGGGGTGAGCAAGCTACAGCCTGAAGTTCACTTACTGTAGGATTGCCAGATAAAACACAGGACTTCCCCACCCACTTGGCTTCTGCCTTCTCAGAGACCTTCATCCCGAGGAGAGGGGAGCTTCCCTCCATGCAGCCAAGAGACCCTGATGCCCCTGAAGGGTCATCTAAAGAGGGTGTTGAAGGATGCATAGGAGTGTGCCAGGAGAAAAATCTATTCATTCATTTAACAAACTCATAGTCATCATTCATTAAATAACATTTTAATT